ATGAATGATTAATCTCTTTTCCTACTGATTCCTATCTCACATATCTTTTGGAGTTTGTCTTCAAATTAAGATTAAGACTAAGTGTAATTGAATAAGAGCATCTGACTAACTGCTTGCTTGCCAATGATACCAGGTTGCTGATAATTACTACAGGCCAGACTTGAAGAAGGCAGCCCTTGCTAGACTCAGCGCTGTTAACAGGAGCCTTAAGGTTTCCAAGTCCGGGGTCAAGAAGAGGAACAGGCAGGCCGTTAAGATCCGTTGTAGGAAGTGAGAAGTGAGTTAAAAAGGTTTCAGATGATTTAATTATTGTTGGTTCTGTTTTAGTTCCAAAAGCTTCAGAGAGACTTAAAAAAGTTTTGGTTTTTGATGTGTTAGAAGAATTATCACATTTTGTTAGAGAAGTTTAAACCTTGTCTTGTGTTAATTACTGAGTTAGTGAGTTCTATTTAATTGAATTTTGCCGGAATGTATTTTACTTAGAGCATCCGTGGGTTAGCTTGTAAGAGTTTTTATTTTTATTTTTTGTACTGTTTATGAATGATAAATTTAAATTTTTATTGGAAAAAAAATTTAAAAGTTGTTTGTAGAAATAAAAAAAAAAGTGAAGAAGAAGTAAGTAAAAAAGAAGTTTATAAAAGCATAAATTTGAAGTTTTTTAAAATTTATTGTTTAAGGTTTTTTTGGGATTAAAAAGAAATAAAAAAATATAAATTTTTAAGAAAAAAATTTAAATTTATGAAACATAAATAGTATAAAAAAAAGTTAAGTTTTTAGAAGTTAACCCAAATATATTAAAAGAAAGACCTTTTGTGGAGAAATGATCATCTCGCGGAAGGTTTGATGTATAAGATTAACAGTGGTTGGCCTCCGGGAAAATAATTAACACATCTCATCGAAAATAAAAGATAAAAAGGGGATATGAATCAACACATCAGTGGAGATTATTATTGTTTTTATCTCAGTAACGAAAATGGTTTTTTTTTTTTTTAGATGTTTATAAGAGACAGGGTATAAGCATAATAAGCGTAAAAGTCCAGCTTAAACGGTTACACCATGCATCTCAAAGGGTTATACTATGCATCAGGGCATACCCATAAAGATTACAAACCAAATATAACAACTACAAGAACTCAAATAGATGTCTCAAG